ATGTACGCAAACGCTGTGTTGTGTTGTGACAGTGCACTCTGTTCATCACAGCAAAACTTAACAAAAATCAATGCAATCGTTTTGTCACGAGGTTTCAGTGTATGCAAAGGTTTGTCAGACCCTTTCAAACCCTGAGACCCTTCGGTTGTTGCTGGGCTTCTCGGCTGAAATCCACAAGTCGCTCTATGAATAAAGTGGTAACTTGAACACTTAGTTAGGATATCTGACAGGTTTATAGGCCCTTCAATCCAACCAAGCTGAATATACCTCTCTAATTGTTCACGCAACCAAAAAATTCTCACTTCCGTATGCCTTGACTTGCGTGGAACATCAAGTGCTGAAAGCAACTGCTTAGCCGACTCGGAGTCGGTGAGCATCAAAATAGGAAACTTCCTACCTTCAAATCCAGCCAAGTTCCCAAAAAAATCATTCACCATCTTTCTCACTAACGGTAAGAGACCCATGGCCTCCTGTGCCGTTTCTTGGATTGCAAACATCTCGGATTCGCAGCTTGACAGTGATGTGCACGTCTGATGACGTGAGAAACCTTTCACGAGTGAAGATAACTTTTGACACTTTGCGACTGCTGCACGATTCGTGCTTGGTCCTTGCCAACCATGCACCACCTATCCATGGTAGTCTGGTTGCACTGTGTGCAAGTCGACCACTTCGGTGGAATCTAATTCCTCAAGCTGAGTCGACATCTGGCCAGCTTCATTCATATGGCGGTCAGACAAAAATCGACAAACAGCGAGGGCAATAGAAAGATTCAACTGCCGAGGGTAAATCTTTGCCCTCGCAGTGGAAAACTGTCCATTGTCTTGTCGTCCCTTCAAGGGTTGATGTCCTCCAATGTGATTGCAGCGTCCACGACGGCCACGCATCTGAATCATGTCGACCAGGGCCGGAAGCCGAAGCACCACAAATGTGGTGGGCTTCTGTGCCAGTAGCCCCATAGTGCATTGATCGAACGTCACCACTTGGGCACACTGAAGACGTGCAAAACATCGGAATGCTCGTAGCGTCCAAATGGATGCTGGTTTCTTGCGTGCAAGCCATACAGGAAAAGCCGGGTGCTCCAGAAACCCGCACAATCCTAACCGCGCTGCTATCACCAATAAATCCAACAAAAATTGGACCAAGGTGGATCCAACATCAACTTGCTGAGCCACTGTTTTTCGAAGCCCTGCCACTCCCCACGGCTCATCATAGCTGCACGGGCGGCGGCCCGTCGGCCATATGCCGAGCGGCTGACCATGTTTCGCAACTTGGCCCTCCACCAATGCACAGGATCTGGCCTTTGGCCATTTGGTCTACCCAGAAACGCTGCGTACTGGGATCTGTGACGTCTGAGCGCTGTTTCGCCAGACAAATGTCTATCGACAGGCAGAATACCTGGGCAGTGCCTTGTTGGAATTGAGCTTCAAGGCAATGTTGCAAATCACCCTCTCTCCTATACCCGCTGTAAAAATGGATAAACAAGAAACATTGGATATGCAGGCGAGCAGTTTCCGCAGCAAGATCATACATTTGATAGACACCTGCTTGCCCAGGGTCTCCTTGCGCAGGAACATGCCCGAGGAAGGGGATGATTTCATCCTCACCAAGTACAACTTGAGGCAACTGCTCACGGATGCCTTCAAATGCATGAAAACCAGTACCAGGATTGGGGGTTCGCCGAGCCCATCGTGCATACAAAATTCTCGCATCTTCCGAACCAGCAGCTGGCAAACATGGCATAGGGATACGAAGGACTGGGAGGAAAGCTTTGGAAGGCCTCCAGCCATGTGTTTTCTGCTCACGTGCATATGTAAGATCAGCTTCATCCAACTGGGTCACAACCTCTTGCGCTGCTGGCACAAAGCATGCAAGGTAGGCGTCACGACATCTGGCAGACTGTCGAACATGAGTCAAAGCTCTACACCGCTGAAAGAACTTCTTACCACACGCACAGCACTCATCGGAAAGCACAAAGTATTTGAGGATCTGCTGATACCCATGCATATGTCGGGAGTGAACTGCTAACGCCCTTTTGGTATCAAAGGTAGCACTACATTGCAGACAAGACCAGGCAGCAACACAACTGTCACGAGGGAGCAACTGCGAAGAAGCAAACTTTTGCAGATCACGCTCTACCTTCAAGGACCACAAGTGGCCCCGGGCGGCTGCTCGATGGTACCTAACTGCCGAGGCTAGGGCTTGTTTCACTCGACCAATCCAGCGTTCATCAACTGCAACATACTGGAGACAAGCATGAACATCATCTACTGGGAGGGTAAAGTGGCCAGGATAATGCTTCATGAACCATACAAATGAACTCTGCAACAACGCCATCCATGCAGTATCAGCGGTATTGGCAAACAAAGTACGCCAAAGCAGCTCTGGAGCAGCAGCAATGGCGCGAGTCAAATAACGCAATCTGTTGGCGTGCAGAAGATCACTAGGTCCAGGCAAGGAAGCAAGTCCACATAGTTCTGCAACCGTGAAATGGAAGGCAGGGATCTGATGAAGCAGTGGCCGAACAAGCCTACCAATAGCTTCACGGATGCCATTGGACCACTTGGAAACGTCGGCATCAGTAACCCAAGCCCACACATGCACATTGTATAGAAGTCGAGAGACAACAAGCATGGAGAAAACTGACGTCTTAGTGGCCAACCCCACATTACGTTTAGAGTAAAAAGGCCGAGCCAGCTGCCCAAAGGCTTTTCGTGCTTGTGCAACTCGATATGTGGCATCCTTGTGTACAACTGCTTGACACTGAAGAAAGGAACCGAGGTGCTTGTATGAATGCACAAGACGCAATGTCTGGGTGCCATGTTCCGTGACAATGGGCAGCGAACCTGCATAATCATGCCAAAGCTGCTTCTTCACTGCACGGGAACCTGGCCCTGCACAAAAAATCATAGCCTCGGTCTTGCCAGCAGCATAGTTGAGCTGCATACCACGCGAAGTGGCTGCGTCGTGCAGACAAGAGGCAACCGTCTGCAAGGCCGTGACAACCTGCTCAGCGCACGGAGCATGCAAAGCATAAGCGATGTCATCAACAAAGGTTACCTCTGTAAACCCTGAAGGTGGCATGTCTGCAACCTGGGCAAGATTTCGACATGTCTCAGGAGAGCCAAGAAAGGGCATGTTGTGACTGCCTTGAAACTTGGTTCGTGCATCCAAGACGATAAGACGAAACACCATATTGAAGAGAACATCTGCTACTGGATCTCCAGGACGTGTCCCGCGGAATGTAGCCACCGGATTTGCAACCCCTTTCATTTGAAAATGTGTACCTGAAAACATATCAATCATCATCCTGTGAGCATGATCATCCATCCCACTCGTGGCATTGTCTGGACGAATGCACCGAAGAATCTCGTGCCAGTCATGAGGCCGGATTCCGAGCACTTGCATGGCATGACAGAGCAAGTCATCATGAAGCGGCTGATCAGAGAGCATGGAACGCACAACAGTATAGAAAGCAGCATGCAAAACAACAAAAAGCATGGCGCAAGAAACCGTCTGCGAACGAGCCCAAGCAAAATATCCATGTAAAAGATGATGGGCAATGTCCGTTGAACATCCTTTACGGCCTCCCTGTTGAATGAGATTATCATGCACATTCCAGGTGTCAACAAGTGCCTTGCGAACATGGGAATGGTGAATCTTGCCACAAACATCAGAGATGAAAATAGAGCGGTAGGAGGCGGCCTCCTTCGGAGACCCCTTTCCTTTAAAAAGGGGGACAAGTAACCCACCTTTCCAAGACAACGGTTCACGGACCTGAGTCTGGACTTTGGTCATCTTATATTAGAACAAACTCAGGCAAACATGTAAGGGTAAGCGCTACGCAAAGTTATTAGGACAACTTACACAAAAACAAAACCCAACGATATCTGACGTACATATATATATATATATATCCATGTAGTATATTTATATATGTGCATACGCCGGAAAAATGAGATCTCGATGCGCAACGGAGTGACATGACGAATGTCAAACTTCAGAAATGATTTGAAAAATTTTGAAATGTTGGATCTTGAACGCACGCACTCAAAGCATCCTTTTTCTCCTCTCAGCTTGCTCTGTTTGGTCTGGGGAGTTTGCCGTTTCCGTTCGGTCACCAAGCAAGGCATATGACAGTTAGTCGGATCTGTTATGCCGTTTTGTATTGTGATTCTCACAGCGGTGAGTTGTCACACATGTTGCTCAGTGGTTCTCCCCCCCCAAATTAGGGTTAAGGGAGGGTGGGCCGAAAGAAAAATTGGTTGTGGAATAAAGATTTTTTAAACCCTCCACTACCTCACCCTTGATACGAAAAATGCAACACGAATATCAAATGAGATGTTGATCCAAGGGAAGGTTGTGTTGTTTTGTTTTGGTTGTGTGAGTTGTCCATTTAAAATTGTTATTCAGAAAAACACGTGCTGCGCAAGATGTAACCCTTATAAATTGTTTTGTCCTGAGTTGCAAATTTTGTTGTTAAAAAAATTTTGCGCTGTTCTTACAAAGATTGTGCTCTCACTCCGTGACAGCACTCATCTTATATTAGAACAAACTCAGGCAAACATGTAAGGGTAAGCGCTACGCAAAGTTATTAGGACAACTTACACAAAAACAAAACCCAACGATATCTGACGTACATATATATATATATATCCATGTAGTATATTTATATATGTGCATACGCCGGAAAAATGAGATCTCGATGCGCAACGGAGTGACATGACGAATGTCAAACTTCAGAAATGATTTGAAAAATTTTGAAATGTTGGATCTTGAACGCACGCACTCAAAGCATCCTTTTTCTCCTCTCAGCTTGCTCTGTTTGGTCTGGGGAGTTTGCCGTTTCCGTTCGGTCACCAAGCAAGGCATATGACAGTTAGTCGGATCTGTTATGCCGTTTTGTATTGTGAATCTCACAGCGGTGAGTTGTCACACATGTTGCTCAGTGGTTGTTGTGAGCAGCATGTAAGGAGATCGGTGAAATTGGATAAGAGCATTCACTAAGTCAGCAGGAGCTTTGATAACACCGCCATCATCCAGGCCGAACCTCTGCATGGCTTCTTTCAAGCGGTTGCGGGACGGTAAGTCTGCTGGATTCGAATAAGAGCATACTCGTTCCGTCCAGGAGAAGGCTGGATATTGAAGATCCAGGTCAGCTAACATCCTAGACAATGATCGCATGGTGGGGGAGTGGCTGTTGGCCTTTATGGATGAAATCCTCGCCGACTCGTTGTCAATCCATTCGATGACCCTGCGATTTTGCAGGTGCTCACGGCGCGACCATTTGAGCAAAACTAAGCCCCATAGCTCCACCTGCGATATTATCTGTTCTCCAGCGTTTGCTAACCAATGGTCTACAAGAGCTTGCGGCACCTCAAGTTGAAATGCGAGGCGGACGTCGCCGTCAATCAGGACTGCCCCTGCAGTAGCAATGCCGTCTTCCCAGGCTCCGTCTGTAAAGACGACCACCGGGCGTCCCACATTCAAGACCGAATGAACGCGGGGGCGCTGTTCCAAAAGCATCGTTTTCGTGTACAAGCAGAGATTTTCCAAATCAGAAGCACGGAGATGCTGGGGTTTGTCGGCGAAAGGCATAAAAGCAGATACCAAATGCTTCATGCTCCGGCCCAAGTAGAAGCTGACTGCAAAATTGAGGAGCCCCTGGAGTTCGCTCGCTTTCGCAGCGGAAATGTTTTTGTCCTTTGCCACCTGATCAAGCATCGCACACAGTTTTTCGATCCGACTTGTTTTGTTCCTTACAACCAAGGTGCCCAAGCTCATGCCACTAAGGTCAAACGTTACCCCAAGCAGGTCAAATGTCGCGGAGAAGTTGAGAGCTTTGTCACCTTCTTTTGCGTGGTCCCAACCAAGTAAGTCGAGCAGCGCACTAAAGGCCAACGACAGGACCCTGCAACCTTCCGATCGCTCCACCGTCGGGAAGTCATCAAAGTAGTGAGACGTAATGGCTTTGAGCAGTTTCGACAGCAGAAACCAAAGGGCTTGTGATATGCGCACGAAACCGTAAACACTTCCGGTGCAGCCGAAGGGCAATGAAACACTTTTGTAAAACTGCCACTTCCCCCCAGAAGGAAATCCAACTATGGCATGGAGCTGATGGTCAGGCAGCACAGCTAGTTGTTTATAGGCTTTGCTGAGGTCGAAAGTTTTGCCAAGCCATTCCAAAGCTTCAGAATCTGAAAGTCCAGCTTCGCGCATAGCCCCTAGAACCATAGCTGCGGCGTAATCCACGTCTTGTAACTGGAGTTTCACGGTCGACGAATACGCTGAGTTAACTGCGCTCTGCTTTGCATCGTCTATGACCCTCACCTTTTGGCTGGCTCCTTGAAACAGGACGAAGCGTGGGTTCAGTGACCAACATTCGGTTCCCATCAGGACTGACATCTCAGCTTCGGAATATGGACCCTGCAAAAAGCCCTTTTCAACTTCAGAAGCTGTTGCCTCCAACAATGCATCTTCCTCGCTATTGGTAAGCGGTCTGGCTGTCTGCATTATGCTGGTTCTACGCCATCTGGCCGACGCCATCAGCTCATCTTCTGTCATGCTTGCCGGCACCAACAGCTGCTGGTATCCAGCCGGCGGTTCTTGCAATCCAACCAAAGGAACTCCAAATTTCAAAAGGTCGACAACACCCATGTCCCAGTAATTCTGTTGCTGTAGAAGCTGCTCAAATAGCAGTATGTTTTTGCTATTGACACATCGACTGACGTCTGGGTGCAGGCTTGCTTTGAGTTCCTGCTCGCGCAGCTTAAGGTCCGTGGACAATTTCTTCACATGAAAAACAGTAGACAAGCGCTCTTTGGCCAGCTTTGTAGGGCAAGTGCCAACTACTTGTACAATGGCGTCCTTTGTAATTTGATGTAGAAAGGAATCTTGGTCAATTGGGTGTTTTGCCTCTTGAGCTTTCTTTAAAAACTCTTCCGGTTCATGCCAAACGCCATACTTGAAGGTGGTTCTGGGCCTCTTGACAGGCCCTGCCTCCGGGTCCAGTTGCTGCTCAGTGTTGGTTTCCCCATGGTGTGGTGGAGCAGCAAGCAGTTTATGAGCAGGATGCGCAGAAACCTCACTCAGGTGTATGAACTCCTTGTACTCAGGCACCAGCGGGGGGTGTCGAATGCTTTGTTGACCCAAACCCAATCGGAGAAGATCTTTGAGTCTCAGTGACGGTGTCGGTTGGACACCCATTAGAGTTGATGCTTCAAGCACGCAATTTGCCATGCGCTTGCACAAAGTGCTTGGATATTCCGCCTCCGCTGCAGTGGGGAATATTACACCCTGATCGCTCTTGTAAGGTTGCCATGAAGCAGTCAGCCGCCAATGATGTGAAGACACCTTGAGTTGCAAGCAATTTGGTCCTCTTGTCTCGCAGGCTACCATGCGCACATGCATCAAAATAGATGCTTTCCAAGTTCGCAAACCATGATATGAAGAGCTGGTCATTTGTATCCTTCACCAAAACTGCAAGAAGCGCCCAGAGCCAAGAACGCGCTGGATTTTCAATCGAAACCAGGCATCCTAGCGCCATGCAAATTTGCAAAATTCTGATTGCGGACTTGTACAACTGGTTGGCAAGATCCACCTTAATTTTGTCAGCACCTGCTAAGTGAGGAAAACCTCTGAGATGCTCAGGACTGCGCAAGGGCTGCGGTCCCATGTGACCTCCAAGCTTGGACGGCATAGGTTTCTCTCTGGCGCGGGAACATGTTCCACAAGGAAGGCCCAAGTGGACGTGACACGGCTTGCAGTGATGTAGCATTGTTTCAAGCAGCATCAATTGATTTGAATTCGACACATCCAGCACAAAGACTTTGACCTTAGGTAAATGCCTGTTTGCTGAGTGGTCCACGGGGTAGACCTGGAATCCGAGGCGCCTTAATGCGTCCGACAATCCCGCTGAGCCACAACAAATTTCAAACGTCGTAGCTTCCAAAGTGAAACTTTTGTTGCTGGATACCTCACCAAGTCAGTGTGGGCACTCGTTGCCCGGGTGAAGTTTGTGACATGACTTCTTCCAGCACATGTGATACCCAACCATGCAGCGCTTTCCAGGTTTGATTTTGGCAGTGCAACGCCCCACCTGCCATCGTTTGCAAAGCTGTTTTCCATCCACAAAAATCTCACAATCGTCTGGTACTGCAATGCCAGAGTTAACTTTGCCTTTGCCCTTTGAGGATTTTCCTTTTCCATCACTCTGATTTCCACCTTTGCCTTTTCCACCAGAAAACGTTGTAGACGTGTCTTGCTTGTGAGCCCCAATGCTTTGCAGCGGTGTCAAGTGCTGCAGGACTTCCGGATGCTCCGAAAATTTTTCGAAGGAAACATCAAAGGGCTTATCTGTCCCGGTCTTCGGCTGCAACTTGCCACGAGTGTCATTAGACACTTTGACTCACAAGACCTTGTCAGCATTGATCACTTGCTCAATACTAATGTGCCTGTAGTTTGACAGTGGGGCTTCATTCATTTTTTCGAAAAGTTTTTGCGTCCACAGGTCAAGCACAGCAAAAGTTGCGATGCCAGCCAAGTCATACGCCAGTGACCTCCTCAAAAACGCCTGTCTCAGCTTGTGTTCACCTGTTACATTCACATCGTCAAGACGTTGCTTTTTACTGAGTCGCAAGCCACCTGCATTGTCCAGCGCCAGTGAAGTGTCAACCTTGGAGTGCAAGGCCTCATCATGCCTGGACGAGCATCGATTCAGTTCAATGTATGTAATGACATTGTCTTCCAACTGCTGACAAACCCTATCTATGAGGGAGTGTGAAGGCTCGCTCTGTGGCGTGAAACTCAAACCTGTCAAACGCTGTTTCTGCAATCGTATTCGATCCATTTTCTCTGCAAGTGGGATGATCCTTGCCTCACTTGACTCTGACCTGTCTGCCCTGGATTTGAGGTCCTCCAAAGACAGCGCATGTGCCTCGAAAAACAGTCGCCTGAAACGAGTGGTTGAAGCAGCTGATGGTGCATTCCCAAACGTAGTGGTCAAGAATTTTGACCAGGTTGGTAGGTACTGCAGTACGCGTATGTTGCATAACTATTGATACCTGCAACCTCAAGCGCATCAACCTCTGTCTGATCAATTCCCAGTTCCAGTGCCCGATTTTGAAAGGCAACTTTCGAATCTATGGCCATGCTTCAGCGCAAAACCACACTGTGTGCAAGGAAATAATGGTCAACTTGATGTTCTTCTAGTTGAACACGCCTACATTCAAAACTTCGTGATCAGCTCAAAAAGATGTTTATCAAGTGGGTGTGATTCGAGGAGCCGCACAAGGTTTCTGTTTCTGCTGCCTTGTGCAACTTTAACTCCATCGGGAAAGATAGGTAGAGGCGCGGGTCCTACGCTTACGGGGACGCGTTCAAACTTGCCCCTTCCGAAAGAATTCATTTCACAACCGGTTCACTCGTGCAGGCACTCGGACTCCACTCTTTTTCCAGTCAGGGATTCGAGCTCCAGGGTTGTGTGGTTCAGGCCCCCAATCCATCTTTTGGATTTCTTACGCACACCAAGACAACTTACCGGACCAACTTTCGTCCGTAAATGGTGATGGAGAAACTTGCCACCCCCGGGCCAGAGAGAAAACATAGAGGGTGGGAGAGCGAAGCGATTGGGTGGGCTAATTTTCCTTGAGGTGGATGGCTCCACATGAATGAAGTGAGACCCGACTTCTCCAAGGGTTTTGGTTTCATCTGTTTCTTGAATCCCCCATCTTAAGGGGGCGGTACAAATAAATAAGTACCCTTCGTAAGCAAATTTCTTTCCCCATCTTACGGGGAATACCGATGATCCCCCATCTTACGGGGGTGGCTCCTGTTGGACAACAAAGTCCCCCATCTTACGGGGGCTGCTCCTGTTGGACATCTGAATGATTCCCCCATCTTACGGGGGCTGCCCCTGTTGGACATCTGCATGATTCCCCCATCTTACGGGGGCTGCTCCTGTTGGACATCTGCATGATTCCCCCATCTTACGGGGGCTGCCCCTGTTGGACATTTGCATGATTCCCCCATCTTACGGGGGCAGCACGCGCGCGTGTTCTATCGCGTCTAAGCCATTCCCCATTGTAAGAGGAGGATGAGCAGATGAGCACATCCCAGCCCAGCAGGAAGCAAAGGGGAGATCCTTCTTATGGATCGGAGACCCAACCCCCCCCACCCTGCTTTCCCTCTTACATAAAAGCTTGTTGGGCATTCGCCCAACTACGCTTTAACTCCATCGGGAAAGATAGGTAGAGGCGCGGGTCCTACGCTCACGGGGACGCGTTCAAACTTGCCCCTTCCGAAAGAATTCATTTCACAACCGGTTCACTCGTGCAGGCACTCGGACTCCACTCTTTTTCCAGTCAGGGATTCGAGCTCCAGGGTTGTGTGGTTCAGGCCCCCAATCCATCTTTTGGATTTCTTACGCACACCAAGACAACTTACCGGACCAACTTTCGTCCGTAAATGGTGATGGAGAAACTTGCCACCCCCGGGCCAGAGAGAAAACATAGAGGGTGGGAGAGCGAAGCGATTGGGTGGGCCAATTTTCCTTGAGGTGGATGGCTCCACATGAATGAAGTGAGACCCGACTTCTCCAAGGGTTTTGGTTTCATCTGTTTCTTGAATCCCCCATCTTAAGGGGGCGATACAAATAAATAAGTACCCTTCGTAAGCAAATTTCTTTCCCCATCTTACGGGGAATACCGATGATCCCCCATCTTACGGGGGTGGCTCCTGTTGGACAACAAAGTCCCCCATCTTACGGGGGCTGCTCCTGTTGGACATCTGAATGATTCCCCCATCTTACGGGGGCTGCCCCTGTTGGACATCTGCATGATTCCCTTATCTTACGGGGGCTGCTCCTGTTGGACATCTGCATGATTCCCCCATCTTACGGGGGCTGCCCCTGTTGGACATTTGCATGATTCCCCCATCTTACGGGGGCAGCACGCGCGCGTGTTCTATCGCGTCTAAGCCATTCCCCATTGTAAGAGGAGGATGAGCAGATGAGCACATCCCAGCCCAGCAGGAAGCAAAGGGGAGATCCTTCTTATGGATCGGAGACCCAACCCCCCCCACCCTGCTTTCCCTCTTACATAAAAGCTTGTTGGGCATTCGCCCAACTACGCTTTAACTCCATCGGGAAAGATAGGTAGAGGCGCGGGTCCTACGCTTACGGGGACGCGTTCAAACTTGCCCCTTCCGAAAGAATTGATTTCACAACCGGTTCACTCGTGCAGGCACTCGGACTCCACTCTTTTTCCAGTCAGGGATTCGAGCTCCAGGGTTGTGTGGTTCAGGCCCCCAATCCATCTTTTGGATTTCTTACGCACACCAAGACAACTTACCGGACCAACTTTCGTCCGTAAATGGTGATGGAGAAACTTGCCACCCCCGGGCCAGAGAGAAAACATAGAGGGTGGGAGAGCGAAGCGATTGGGTGGGCTAATTTTCCTTGAGGTGGATGGCTCCACATGAATGAAGTGAGACCCGACTTCTCCAAGGGTTTTGGTTTCATCTGTTTCTTGAATCCCCCATCTTAAGGGGGCGGTACAAATAAATAAGTACCCTTCGTAAGCAAATTTCTTTCCCCATCTTACGGGGAATACCGATGATCCCCCATCTTACGGGGGTGGCTCCTGTTGGACAACAAAGTCCCCCATCTTACGGGGGCGGCTCCTGTTGGACATCTGCATGGTTCCCCCATCTTACGGGGGCTGCTCCTGTTGGACATCTGAATGATTCCCCCATCTTACGGGGGCTGCCCCTGTTGGACATCTGCATGATTCCCCCATCTTACGGGGGCTGCTCCTGTTGGACATCTGCATGATTCCCCCATCTTACGGGGGCTGCTCCTGTTGGACATCTGCATGATTCCCCCATCTTACGGGGGCTGCCCCTGTTGGACATTTGCATGATTCCCCCATCTTACGGGGGCAGCACGCGCGCGTGTTCTATCGCGTCTAAGCCATTCCCCATTGTAAGAGGAGGATGAGCAGATGAGCACATCCCAGCCCAGCAGGAAGCAAAGGGGAGATCCTTCTTATGGATCGGAGACCCAACCCCCCCCACCCTGCTTTCCCTCTTACATAAAAGCTTGTTGGGCATTCGCCCAACTACGCTTTAACTCCATCGGGAAAGATAGGTAGAGGCGCGGGTCCTACGCTCACGGGGACGCGTTCAAACTTGCCCCTTCCGAAAGAATTCATTTCACAACCGGTTCACTCGTGCAGGCACTCGGACTCCACTCTTTTTCCAGTCAGGGATTCGAGCTCCAGGGTTGTGTGGTTCAGGCCCCCAATCCATCTTTTGGATTTCTTACGCACACCAAGACAACTTACCGGACCAACTTTCGTCCGTAAATGGTGATGGAGAAACTTGCCACCCCCGGGCCAGAGAGAAAACATAGAGGGTGGGAGAGCGAAGCGATTGGGTGGGCCAATTTTCCTTGAGGTGGATGGCTCCACATGAATGAAGTGAGACCCGACTTCTCCAAGGGTTTTGGTTTCATCTGTTTCTTGAATCCCCCATCTTAAGGGGGCGATACAAATAAATAAGTACCCTTCGTAAGCAAATTTCTTTCCCCATCTTACGGGGAATACCGATGATCCCCCATCTTACGGGGGTGGCTCCTGTTGGACAACAAAGTCCCCCATCTTACGGGGGCTGCTCCTGTTGGACATCTGAATGATTCCCCCATCTTACGGGGGCTGCCCCTGTTGGACATCTGCATGATTCCCTTATCTTACGGGGGCTGCTCCTGTTGGACATCTGCATGATTCCCCCATCTTACGGGGGCTGCCCCTGTTGGACATTTGCATGATTCCCCCATCTTACGGGGGCAGCACGCGCGCGTGTTCTATCGCGTCTAAGCCATTCCCCATTGTAAGAGGAGGATGAGCAGATGAGCACATCCCAGCCCAGCAGGAAGCAAAGGGGAGATCCTTCTTATGGATCGGAGACCCAACCCCCCCCACCCTGCTTTCCCTCTTACATAAAAGCTTGTTGGGCATTCGCCCAACTACGCTTTAACTCCATCGGGAAAGATAGGTAGAGGCGCGGGTCCTACGCTCACGGGGACGCGTTCAAACTTGCCCCTTCCGAAAGAATTGATTTCACAACCGGTTCACTCGTGCAGGCACTCGGACTCCACTCTTTTTCCAGTCAGGGATTCGAGCTCCAGGGTTGTGTGGTTCAGGCCCCCAATCCATCTTTTGGATTTCTTACGCACACCAAGACAACTTACCGGACCAACTTTCGTCCGTAAATGGTGATGGAGAAACTTGCCACCCACCTTCAGCGGAGTCACCATTTGGTCTTGGCAGCCAACTTCTGCCTCTTAGAGGCCTTGACCTGAACATGCGGGTGCTTACGCTTCTCTTCCCGCCAGCCCTGGACCTCGTTCCTAAACTGCAGCAGTTCTTTCATTATGGACCAGTCGAGGTCCTGCCACTCGACTTTGCATCTAAGGTCCATGGTGAAGCGGTCGTATCTTTGGTTGGTGAGGTCATCGGCTTCGACATTTGTCTTGCGAGGTCTCCACCTGAGTCTGAAAACCAGCCCATGTAGGTAACACTTCAACCCTAATTGGATCTGAACATAGGAGAGCGGGAATTTGTTGCTGGAGCCCTTCTTCGTAACGTGCTCCGTGGCCAAATTGTCCGTACCCGCTTCCAGGAGCACCCGACGGGGTCTAGCACCCTTCTTGAAATGTCCAAACGTTTCCAGAGCCACCAAGGAGGCCATCAATTCGGCCACGGTGCTCCTTGATGGAAGGTGCTCCGTGTCAAACAGCCAAGGCGCATCTAACGCTGTAACTTCCAAGGAAAACCAACGCGCCTTCGACGGATCGGCATCGGCTCCCAGCTCCCATCCTCCCAGAATGACACGACTCTCCTCACACTTGGCGTCAGCGCGAAATGCCTGACTGCCTCCCTTGAGGGGGCTCCTCCCGGAGGTACGGTGGTACCCTCGCTTCCAACATCTTTGCAATGAACAGGAGGATCAGTGAAACCGTCTGAGGCAAGGTGGCCGCAGTCCCAGGAGCAATTGCTCCCTTCCAGGCATGTAGGGGGGCCATCAATGGTTTGAGCCAGACCAAGACCTGCCCCGCATAGACCAGCCGTCCAACCAGTTCAACAAAGCTTCTGTGCGTGACAATATCTTCATTTCTCCGGGCGTCCTCCACCCATTGCACGATCCAATTCGTCCTGCGTTCGGACAGACCCACTTCAAACTTGCAGTAGTCCATATAGAACCCCACAAATTCCAAACACACGCCTCCACGAAACTTTGGCCACCTAAATGGTGTACCCAGCATCAGCCACGCCACTAGCATATACCAAATGCGGTCGTACTTGTCTTCGCCAGCGGCCACCATCTTCAAATCGTCAGCAAGCAAAAGCTGAAACGTGTGGGATTGGCCCCCAAGCCGCATCACCAATCGCCCCAAGAGGGAGGCCAGGCGGGCAAAGTGATAGGCAGCGCAAGCCACTCCGAACGTACCTACCCGATTGAACCAGATGGGTCCATCCTCTTCCACTCGGCAGCCCAAAAGGCCTACATCCTCTTCCCTGTGCCTGAACCTCCGGTGAGCCAGAGCTATGTCGGCCGCCACAGCCACCATCAAATGGAATCCGGAGTCCAAGGTCTCTTCCATCACTGCAGTGCTGGCCTCAGGCCCCGGGAACTCTAGGCGATCCTGGATGGTGATCCTGTTGTTGATTTGCACAAAGTGGGTGGCATCAAAAATCACCCTCACCCGCTCATCATCTTTCGGGATTGCCCCTAGAGAGGCCACCCTCATGCGGTCACCAAACCGGCGCCGGGCTTCCTTCTCCGTGAGTGGAAACATAAACCCCATTCGTTCCTCCTCCTGAAACTGCACCCCTATCTGCTGGGAGTGCTCCTTGGCCGATTCGTAGTTGCTGTTTTCCGCCCGAAAATCCGACTCATCATATTGACGCTCTTTGACCTTAGGACGGAAGACCAAGGGAACCCTGGGGAAGGTATGCCCATAGCCCACCATCCGGCCGTCGCAGTAGTTGTCAGGCCCAGTGTCCAAGACATCCGCGTCCTCCTCCCCCATCAGTCTTGCTGTCTGGGCAATTGCATGGAGGAAGAAGGGCTGCCCTTCCGGTACTGTTGCGGCTGAAGACGGGGATGGCAGGAGGTTGAACCAGCGGGATCTCAAATCTTGCATTTGTTCCTCACTAAAGGGGGCTACTTGAAGTTTGCCCAGTGCCAGCGCAAAGAAAGCTCTTTGGGTATCTGGAATCACCTTGTGAGTAAATTCCTTGACCAAGTTCCCCAGCCGGAGGATGAATTTGCCCGTCTCTCCTTGTTGGAAATTTCTCCGGCTCGGCGCCCACCTTCCGGGAGAGCACAAACCACAACCATCATTGAAGCTGGACGGGGCGCGCGCATGCCAATCGCAAACCATGGGCATGCCCCGGTGTTCCGAGAGTGCCCCTGCAGGCATTCCGTGGAAGTTTTCCCCAGTTTCTCCCCCGCAGGCTGCTTCCGGCAGAGGTTCCGTTCTGGTTTGCGAGGCTGCTTCAGGCTGTGGTTTTATTCTGCTTTGCATGGTCTGACTTCCCCCCCCCCGAAGGCGTAGAAGGGAGGGCCATGCCATGGCTGCAATCCATTTGCAAAGGTCAGGTGGGTAAGTGGCCGATGGGGCTGTCATCCAACGGCCCTGTTCATCTTTCCCCACCAATGCCTTGTGTGCGTTAGCCCCATGAGGGCATTGTTTAGGTAGAGGTCCCAAATACCGACCTTCCTCATCCAATCGATGCAAACCTTTGTACCCAACTTCGCGTGGATCCAGCGTAGTGAGAAAACGCGTTGGTTTAGAAGACGGTGCAGAAAAATCACATTGGAAAACTGCAAAGGTGCGGACGCCTTTTTGACACAGCAATTCGGCCACTTCTGGAAGATCCCAAATGCTGGCTGGGATTTGCCCTGCCGTCAGCCCTAGTTGTTCTGGATGTTCCAGAAAGAAGTGGCCGTTTTGTTCTTTCACTATGCGGCACCCTTGCAAAGACTTCTGCACCAGCTCATCTGCCAGGGCGACTTTCTGCTTGTTGTCCTCGCTCAACCAAGGGAAGCCATGAGGAAAGCTGAAGTCCCTCAACGGCCGGGGCCCCCCATACTGCCGATATTGGCACCTCGCCCTGCTGTGAGTGTTGCATGGCGGTGCCACCAAAAGAAAATCCACCAGACCAGAGTGAAGCTGTTGTAGGACCCAGTTCCAGACCTCCTCCTTATGGAGGTTATGCCCTTCATTACGAAGGATATCCAGCTGCAAGCCTTTCAGACAAACGTTGTCCCGTTTTGCCCACTCCACCAGGTAGTGTTGAACATCTGCTTTGCGCTCGACGCCTGCAAAAAGGTATAAAACATGCACTGTAGGGGAGTGTTTGTCACCCTCATGCCAAACCTCCCAGGTGAGACTTGTATTCTCCACGTGTCAGTGTGTGGCCTCTTGGCCCGCGCTCGCCGCACCACCTGCGTCTTTGCCCTTCTGTTGTGGGCAAGAATGCCTGTTGTGCTTTGGTGAGAGGCAAAACTGGCACACATGAACTCGCCCGCAATTGCCCCGGCACGTGTTGTTCTGGCTGTTGAAGGCGTAGCACACCTGTCTGCCGTCTGGCGTGGTGGAGTAGACAAAACCCGCCTTCGAGTCTGCTCCAAGCCTACCCTTCCGGGACTTGCCTTTCCCGCTTCCTTTTGGACCAGGTCTTTGCTTGTTGTTGCCCGTTGTGTCATTGCCGCGCCACTTGCCATAGTTGCCACCTCCCGCAGCCGCTGGTGCCGAGGACGTGTTGCGACGGGCCAGTTCCAAGGTCAGCGGCGTCACGAAGTAGGTCTCCTTCAGCGTGGCGTCTGTCATCACTTCTTCCAGGGTCGTGTTCAACGATTTGCCCTCCCTAGAAGTGCGCCTATAGGCTTCCTTCCGCAGCTTGTGCTCGAAGGCAATCATAAGGTCCCAGCTTGGGCTAGCGGCCATAGATTGTGATGAACCATCACCCTTGGGAATCTGCAGCTGGTAGATTTTGTCTCCCAGAAGAAAGTCCACATACCGCTGGAACGTCTTGGTGCTCAGTTCCTCGAACCAGGTCTTGTTGCGAAACCTGGCGGCCAGCATCAGCATGGTGTTGCATTCAATCCTAATCTTTGCACGTAGCTCTTCTGAGTTCACTGGCATTTTTGCCTTCTTTTTCTCCTTGATGATTCTCAGCCTTCCCCCGGAGTCCAGGCTGCTCTGAAGTTGCCCGTGCAGCTCATCTTTAACGCAACCCACTTCGTCCAGCGAGCTGGCTTGCAGGTCTCCTCCCTCTACTTCCTCCAGTTTGACCGCCAGATAGTCAGGCGAGGGTTCCTCTTTCTCGTCCATAGCGCCTAGCAAGCGCTCCACTGCCACCCTCATCGCCTGCCGCTCGGTCTGCAAGAGGGGTTTTGGAAGACCCATGGCCCTGGCTTCGGCCTTGAGGCCTCTTTCTTTCTCAGCTGTATCGGCCGCTTGTTGCCATGAGGCGACAACAGCCGCCAATCCAGCCCTTGCCCCCGCGTTGGCGGCGGGATCTATGCCAAGGTCCCTTGCCAGGGCGGTTCTCGCCTCCTGCTTGCTGTCTGCCAGCGCTGCAAAGAGGGAGACATTGCGGTAGTTTTGTCCCAACTCATACTGTTTATCCAAAGTCACTCCCATGACCTCCCAAATATAGGTGAGGTCGGCTGCAACGTTGCTTGTCAGCCATGCCTTTTGTTCTTCCGGTGTCGGCGCTGCCATCTTCCGCAGCTACGTTCAAAAGAGAGGGAATCTGTTCCAACCTACTTACGGTTGAATCCATGACATTGCAAGTCTTAAGAAGTGAACTGTTCCAACCTACTTACGGTTGCCATCCAAGACATTGCAAGTCAAGACCCTCGAGAAACCCTAACTCTAACTCTAGACATCTTTAGTCCAGTTGTCTTAGAGTCTTGGGACCTGCCAGGCACCAGGAAACCGTATCAAAGTGGTCTGACTTCAGAAACCCTGCGCTCAATCCTTCTGAGTTGTCTTGAACGCTCCTTTGAGCCCTGACCGCTTCGATGTTCGGGCATTTCACCCGTTGGACTTCTTACGTCCTGGGGCCTCTTACACCCCTTTTTTCTTGTTAGTCCCGTCTCTTACACGGGCGGCCCTTCTTACAGACCTGTCTACCTGCCTGGAAGGTCCAGCATGGATGTGCCAATCAACATGACTGCAACTCAAGAAGAATCAAATCAAATCAAGTCAAATCAAAACAAGTCCAACCACAACACAGAAACCAACGCGACAGGTTTTCCACTTCACTTCTCCTCTTCAGTGCTGGTAGAGCTTCCCGAGGAGCTGGAGTCTTCTTCCTCCTGCTCATCCAATTCTTTTCTAAAGCATACTCGGCACCAGGCATCTACCCCCGATTTGGGGATCTGAGCAACTTCATCGTATGAAGCCACCGTCCAGTAGAGGACTCCACAAGCGCAGCTCTTCTTATGGAGCCTCCTGAAACCTGTCCTCCTCGAAGTAGAGATCCAGTACTGCATCTCTTTAGCGGCCTCTTTGGAACTTCTGGCCTTCGACGTGTCTTCCAGCGGCACTGTCTGCGCCCAGCCAGCCACCATCTCCTCCAGCTCGTCATCTTCGATCAAAGACTGAAGGGTTGGGTACTCAGTTCTTAACCCATACCGGTGGTTTTGCATCCGGAGCATCACATGGAACCAACGACCATCTCTCTGGAAGACTCCGCGCTCTTCTGCATACTTTTTCAGCTCCTCAATGAGCTCACCCTCTGTCAGCTCCACGTGGCCTTCACAGATGGCCTTGTTGACGTCTCTCTGAATGGAGGTGACAATCTGTTTGGCGCTCAGCACGTAGGCGTTTGATTCCTGTGCTCCCGCCTGCCACCTCCCAAGGTAATCTCGCTGCTCCTTCGGTATGCCGATGTTAGCGGCATGTGTGGGAAGCCAATATCTTCCGCTGTGTCCACTCCAGAAATTTGTGAGCTCACCTGAGATCAATGGTTCCCCGCTTTCCATCCAGGCCTTGGCATTGTGGCCCCCTCGCAGCGGCTTCTTGACCACGGAGAGGGCGTACCCCATATAGCTGGTCAGATTTTGAACGCTAAGGTATTTTCGAGCTCCACCACTCCATTCCCTGTTGGGTCCCGGCAGAAAATAATCCCTGTCGCTTTGGAAGACATCAGAGTGGTAGAGCTCCCAACCTCGGCCCAGCCAATCTTCTCCGGAGAGTGAGGCATCCCGGGCTACGTAGGCGGGGACTTCTACTGCTCTTCTCCCCGGGCCGGTGGTTTTTGTCCTGCGCAGAATCATCCTCACGCAGGTCCCATTCATGTGCATGCGGGACGGATCAATCCACTGCACATCATCTGCCCTCAAAACCATCCAGCACATGAGCAGCATGACCCACCCCAGCAACCGGGTGTAATTGCAGTACTCTGGACTGCAGACCAACAGCTCCAGACCAATGATGGAACTGATCAAGTACGGCTTTGCTGGTCGCTTCGGAGGCGCACCTGTCTGCAATTCCATCTGCATGTTTCTCACGTAATCCAGTAAAGTCCGATCCTTCGACAGCTTGTCCTTGTCGTCGACGCGACCCACTGTTTCCAGCAATGCCAAAGCACCCATCAATCCTTGAGGAGCGGTGGGGCCACATCCATCTTCAAGGCGACCTTCTAGATAATCGGTCACATCTCCAAGTTGCTTCGGCCAATGCCGGACCCGATTGAGGACCAACCAGATGTAGTAGCGCTTCCACGTGGTAGCTCGGTTTCTGAGGGTTTTTGCTCTCCTACTGCCAAATATACGGCACCACCCTTTCTTCTGGTCCTCAGTTTCCTGGATCATCGAGACCACTGGTAATCCCGCTTCGAGGATGTACTCCGACAGTATCAAAGCCCATCTAACTCTTTCCTCCTCCGCCACCTGCAGCGGATTCCCCACCTCTAGGGTAAGGTTCTGACTGAGCCTGGTTTTCCGCACCTGCCGGATCGGCACTGCTTCCCTTTTCAGCAAACTGCTGAAAGTCTCCTGTAAGTCCTCCGCTGAGACAGTTGGCTCTTCCAAACGCGGCCGCACCAGTCTACGGCACATCATGCGCCGCTCCCTCTGCATGTCGCGGCCGGTGTGTTCTTTGAACTGCCGCAGATCTCGGGCGATCATCAACTGTTCTTCGCCCAACCTTGCTGCCACATATTCAGCCAAAGCTACCAAACCTCCGGGCTGATCCAGGGCTTCGTGCAGCACCTGGAGATTGCAGAAGTCCAGAGCCAAGATTTCACTTATCTCGGCTCTCAGCCCGGGGAACATCGCTCCGGCAACGCTGCGTAGCGCCCCCACCCCCAATTTTCCTTGAGGTGGATGGCTCCACATGAATGAAGTGAGACCCGACTTCTCCAAGGGTTTTGGTTTCATCTGTTTCTTGAATCCCCCATCTTAAGGGGGCGGTACAAATAAATAAGTACCCTTCGTAAGCAAATTTCTTTCCCCATCTTACGGGGAATACCGATGATCCCCCATCTTACGGGGGTGGCTCCTGTTGGACAACAAAGTCCCCCATCTTACGGGGGCGGCTCCTGTTGGACATCTGCATGGTTCCCCCATCTTACGGGGGCTGCTCCTGTTGGACATCTGAATGATTCCCCCATCTTACGGGGGCTGCCCCTGTTGGACATCTGCATGATTCCCCCATCTTACGGGGGCTGCTCCTGTTGGACATCTGCATGATTCCCCCATCTTACGGGGGCTGCTCCTGTTGGACATCTGCATGATTCCCCCATCTTACGGGGGCTGCCCCTGTTGGACATTTGCATGATTCCCCCATCTTACGGGGGCAGCACGCGCGCGTGTTCTATCGCGTCTAAGCCATTCCCCATTGTAAGAGGAGGATGAGCAGATGAGCACATCCCAGCCCAGCAGGAAGCAAAGGGGAAATCCTTCTTATGGATCGGAGACCCAACCCCCCCCACCCTGCTTTCCCTCTTACATAAAAGCTTGTTGGGCATTCGCCCAACTACGCGTGTTGCTGATGAGCCATGGATGCACCACGAAGTTGAATGAGCTTTGTCACTTGGTTATGATTCCTCTGCCGCACGAGAACATGCTAGGCATTGGGTTCCAAGTGGTTTCTTTGCTATCCAGACTTGCGTGATTTCCGTGGCTATCAACATGACGCAGCTTCAGTTATGAAAACCTTGGATGACTATCTCAAACGCATGTTAATGGAAAGTCTGACTTAATCACTGACCCACTGATAGTATGCAAGCATCTTTTATACTTCGGCAGTGTGCGCTTTGGGATCGGCAACACCTTAAGGCCAACATTGCATTCCATTGGCATGGGCAAAAAACCAAAATTGAAAACTCAAAGGTCTCTCCTCGCAGCACGGTAAGCATGTGAACAGCTCGCGCAAACCACCACCTCAGGTGTTGATATCTCGTCCCTCGAGGCCCTGCTGAAAGAAGCCGTGGGGCTCCTGCCACACCAGAATTTCTCATCCTCTCCGGCCAGCAGGTGAATTACCTTTGAGCTTTTGTTGATCAAACATTGGTCAGCTTCAATGTCGTCAGCCTCCAAACGTCTGTACGTGGTCTTCTGACCCAAGCTTGACTGCTCTCCATTTGACGAGGCCACAGAGGATGCATCCTCTGAATTACTGGAGCTGCTGTCACTGCTGCCTCCATCTCTCTCAAGAGCTGTCTCAAAAGCCAGCTGGAACAAACGACTGACCCTGGTCGCATCTGGGTCAAAGGTGCCATCCCTGATACGCGCAAACATTGCATGAACCTTCTTGCACAAGCCAATCTGGTTGTCCCGTGAGTAGATCATGGCAGACCTGTATTGGGCGTTGACATGATGTCCCAATGCCAATTGCTCATCCGCTGTGAAAAGGGTGCTTTTGGCCGCCCAGCTCAACAAGGTAGCCTTCAATCCATGCACTGTCAGAGATGAGGCTCTGTCACCTCCAACATGGGGCTCCAACAATTCACGAAGCCAACCAGTTGCCTCTGCTGTGGACATGCGGGAGTCTATCCACGTGTGGTCGCTTTCCGACCAAGAATTCAGGAAGTAATTCCAAGATCCAACGTCTGCGGCATAACGTGACTTCATCCAGCTGTCCCCCCATGAGTCCTCAGCTGTAACATGACCCAGCGCAGTAAATGGCAGAAGCTCCATTTGTTGCTCCTTTCCACGCGATGACTTGTGCTTTGAAGTCATGGCTTCAAGAAGGGTGACAGGTCCTGTTGTTGATATCTCCATTGAAATGACATACATTGAGTCATGCCATCTTGCCGCGGCAGCAAAGCAAAACAGCAAATGTCCAGCAATCAGTCGTCGATGCAATTCTGGGTCATTCAAACATATGTCCTCCAGTGCAGCTATCTCAGCAACCTTAAGCACCTGTGCAGGTTTCCTGAACCTCTTGGTCATGTAGCAAGAATGTGCTGCTCCCGTCACCCTTGGGCTGAGCATGTCTGTCAATGATGACGATGTGAGCCCAATCAAAGCGTCTGTGAATCTCAGGGCCTCAACAAATTGTGAAGGTGTCGTGGGGCCTGCGCCTGAGTCCCTCAAATAACAGATGTAGGCATAGACAACCCTTTCATCTTGTTTGAACGGTGAACCACCTCCACTTGCCTGAAGCCAACATGAAAAACGCCATAATGCATTGCACCTCTTCAAGATTGTTCCTGTGGCCTTCGGTGAGAAAACATCCATGAAAACCTGAGACAACTCTGAGTCTGAGCACAGGGTACCTGCAAAGCTCCTCAAGGACTGTCCAAGGCGAGTGCAATCAAGGTCTAAGAGAACCATTGTTTTAAACCTGGCAAGTGCAACATGTCGAAAGTTGTCTGTCGATGACACCAAACGTGATGACTTGATGCGCTGCACTGTAAGTTCAGTGTGTTGAATCTGCGTGGGCACCGCACTGTCTGTTGAGCTTGCAGTGATATGGTCAGCAAGTCCGACCAAAGGCAGTTGTTGAAATGATTACAAACGATCCCAAAAGGGTTTCGGCCTAGCAAATAAACTTGCTAATGGTCCCTTCTGCCAAGGCTGTTTCAAGTCCGAAGTCAACTTATGGACGTGTCTTGATGCCAACTCGTCTGCAGTGCGTTTGACTGCTAAGCTCTCAGCCGACAAGGATCCTGGTTTGTTTGCAACAGACTTAGGCTTGGGGTGCAGAAAACGTGGCTCCTGTAAAGGCAAAGCATCGTGACGGTCCAAGGCTTCAAGTGATGAATCCAAAGTGTCAGTGTTGTCAAGATTGCCAAACAAGTTTTCCGTGTCTGGTAACTCAACTTGTTCCCAATTGCCATCTGTACTGGGGTCCACGCTGTCAACATCTTGAGATGCCCTCGTTGAGGATGCTTGATACACATAGTTCCCTGGTTCCATGAGATGCTGCAATTCAGCTTCTGTGACAGCATTCCCATGGGGATGATTGGTTCAATCGCCTCTGATGGCGAAATCATGGCACCGCCAGGAGACATCTTCAGCCTCACTGCACGACCATCGGTCAAAGAAACTTCCACCACTAGGTAGAGCTCAGTGTCTTCGCCTTCAAATCAAGGACGAAGAGGGTGTGTCGCCCCTGAATCCACCAAGCCCACATCATTTCCAACATTCGACTTTTTCATCTTGAACGTCTTCATAGATTTCAGCTGTTGTTGAAGACGCTCCATGACATCCTTTCTCTCCTCCTCTGGAGATAGACCAAACGCTGGTGATGTCTGGCTTGTAGAACTCGACAACGACTTCAGCACCTTGTTGGCCTCCTCAAGCAAGTCTTTCACCACTTCGCTCTGGCTTGACTGGCTGAAATATCTAATTCTTTTCCTCCAGAACCACCTCCTTTTTCCTCCCCCTCGGCAACCCTTGGCTTCGTGGGATTGGATTCTGAAGAAGGTCCACGAGATCTTGTGCAAGCTGGGGCAAGGTGTTCGGTGCTTCCGCAGGTGTAGCAACGACGCTTCTCATCCTTGACGTCGTGGCTAAAAGTGCACTCCTTGCCTCTTCTGCATCCTGAGTCAGTCAAGTAGAAGCGGCACTTCATCTTTGGCCTTTCCTCCTCACCTGACTTCTCTTTCTCCTTCTGCTTCCCTTTCTCCGCATCCATGGACTTGATCTTTGGCTCCACCTTCGAAGTCACAGCAGCAGCCCGCTTCTCTGACAAGGCAACCTGCTCAATCTCCGCCAAAAGGTGAGTTGCAAATTGTCCAACTGAAACGTTGGTCGGGCGTGTGTCAACACCCAAAGAGTTCCTGGCCAAACTGACTCGGAACTGAAGCTCCTTGTGCGCCTCAAGCACCCGCTTCGTCAGCTTGTTCAACCCCTTCAAGAGGATAGCTGGATCGGGGGTCGCTGCTCCAATCCCCTGCGTCCTCAGCTTCCACCTCAACCACTTTCTAATGGCAGCTGGTGCATCACTGATTGATGCGACCTCTACCGGGTCCTCAAGGTTGCGCAGGAGGGTTTGTTTCTCCAGCACCTCTCCCGGGCAATACGTCAACAGCAACTGAGTCAGGATCCCAAAGACACTCAGCCTTCTGGCTGATACCAACTCTTCTTTGACCGTCTCTGGCACGGCCTGCAACAGCATCGCAGCCACCCTGCGTTCAAGCCTGGTCCATTTCTCCAGACTCAACAAGATTTCCCTTGAAAGGGGTCCTCCGGGTGAATGGGGTCCTGGAAACGCCGCGCGTGCCCACGCACGCGCCCAAATGGGTTCAATTTCCCCTTTCACCCCAAGGACCCCTTTCACCCCGAGGACCCCTTTCAAAGGAAATTGTGTTAGACTCACTTCAGCAGGAGGACGTATGTCATGCTGAACTCGATTCAAAGGCGACATTGCCATGTGCCGCTGATACCATTGTTCAGAGGCTTTGATCATCAGCGACCACCAAAGCTCGGAGCTCGCCGAAAGGTCTGCAACGATCGGCTCCAAAGTCAACAGCCAATCGCCCAGTTGCAATGGCCCTTGATGCGCAGACCACTGCGGAAGAGCTGGCCTATCAGGTATGCCAGTTCTCCCCACCTCAACTCCTCTAATCATGCCGGTCTCCTCTTTGTTCTCGGTGACCCTTTTGTGAAGATCTTTCATCATCTCCATCATGATCATCATGAACTCCAATGATTTCTCTGACAAGCCAGCATCTCCACCCGTTGAAGCGCCTCTCGCATTTTTGGCTTCTGGTGCTCGCTCCTTCTGTGGGGGTCTGGCAGCCTCCTTTGGGGTCTCAAGCTCTGCAGCAGACGCTGTTTGAGCCTGTCTAGAAACTGCTTGTCCGGCATTGCCGGATGTGGCAGTCTGTCGAGAGAATGCTTGTCCGGCGTCCCCGGATGTAACAGCATTACTCTCGTTTCGACTAGCCTCAGGGAGGAATGGGGGTCTCGCAGCCTCCTTTTCTTCCCTTTCCTCAACTTCACAACGATGCAGCCAAGCCGAATCCTCGTCTTCAGTTCCTGGCTTCAAATGCAAATTCTGTTCCTCAGGTGTTGAAAAACGTGGCTCTTCATCTTTCGAACCCTTCTCAAACGCCTGTGATCTAGACCTCAAACGCTGATTCTCTTCTACTAGTTCTTGAATCTGCCTTTTGAAGTCCTCCTTATCTTTTGCAGACTGCATCCTAACCAACTCCAATTCCTTTTCCATCTGGCCGTGCAAAACCCTTGACGCATCTTGCTCTAGAAATGCAGGACGGTGAACAGGAGGATTGAATGCTGACTGCTGAATCCCATACAACCATGGTGCCTGGCTTTGGATGAAGGCAAACTGTCTCAACTGCTCATCAGAAAACAGGGGGCCAAACAACTGCCTAGCTGACTCAGTCATGCTAGCCGATCCCGCCGACTCTCCTCCTGGAGTCGCCACATCCAGAACCTTCGGCATTCCAGGGCCAACCATCGTGCCATCTCCCTTGTCGACGGCCGTTTTCTTCTCATCCATCTCGGAAGGAGAGCCGCCATTTCCAAGAGCAGGAGGATCAGGAGGAGGATCCGTTGGTGGCAAAAGCTGTTTGTTGGCAGAACCCTGGCTAGGTGTCTTAGCTGGAGTTTGTTTCTCAGTTTCTTCCTGACTCTCAACCTTGATTTCACCTTCACCAACAGTCCTATCTTCCAAAGCCTTCTCACCTCTTTCTAATGCCTCACGTTTCATCCTAGCATCAGCTCTCCTCATTTCTTCCTGACCTTGCTCCAACTCTTGACTTGTTGCTAATCTCCTTCTCATATCTGCCATCTCTAATTCAATTTGGAGTTTCCAAGCTGGCCGCTTGGGCTCAAAACCTGGCAAAGCCCAGGTTTCGACTTCGGGTCCCAGCGCCTCCAAGTAGCAGTTGAACTCCTTCTTCTTCTCGCTCAGCCGCTTTAAGTTAAATCTTGAGGCTTTAAAGAAAAGGTAGCTGCAGCAGCAGCAAAATTGGAAAACGTGAACATGCAGCAAAATGTCTATGGAAAATTCTAAATGAGGTCATGCGCTTCAGCACTTTCCTTGTCATGCATGTATTTGGTTGGAAGTTGCACAAATTGAAGCCGCATTAATATCGGTTTTCTTGCCGATGTCGTTGATGCGTCTTGCAAATTTGACACGGCGATGTTTCAAGTTGTACAAATTGAAGACGCTAAAGTAGGTATGATTTGCTGATGTTATTATGTAATGTGTAGATGCTGGTCCCAAGCTATTTGAAGATGCCGGTTTAGCATCTATATCTTCCACTAACATGGCTTCGATTGTTTCGTCGCCTGTGAGGAAAAAGGAACTTGCGGACACCGAAGATTGTCACATGCTCACCGAGATTCCTGTCAGAGACGGGGAGCACTGTGATGCAGTACCCTCGACACTCAGCGCTTTGATTGGCGTTGTGGTGCCAGGTCAACTTCGCAAGGTTGAAACAGTCTTCGTGGTCTCAGACTTGCAGATCCTAGGCATCTCTTCAGTGAAAAGCGAAACAGATGAATGGCTTATCACTTCTTGCGTGCGATGCAAGAGGGCCAGCCCTTGTTCGCAACATCCAGAAGGAAGCGCAGAAAAGCGCCTGGCCGTCAGATTGACCTTGGCCGATGGCAACAGTCAGTGTACCGTGATGCTGTATCACGAGTTACTGCTGCTGAAGGCAGCAGCGCTTATGGAAGTGACTTTGCCAGAGCCGCTGGCTGATTCCAAGGATCTACGCACAACCTTCAGAGACCTGTTCCGAAATGCTCAGTGGATCTGCCATTTCACCTTCAAGGAGAACGACTTCCAGCAATCCTTGGAATTGGAGTGTCGCGACATTCGTCCTTGCCTGAGGCTTCAGCCGACTGTCGCGCTGATGATTCCACCAGACAGGCAGTTGAATCTGCCCCATTGCCGCTTGAACAATGGTTGCCCAGTGGCGCCGTTGAATAGGATGACAGTGGATGCGCATCTCGGGCAGGTCTCCGTGGGCAAGGTGGATGCAAACTTTTTGCGTGCCTTGGTGTGCTTCAACAACATGAAGTTGCCAGATGAAGAGGCAGTGCAGCAAGACAATACAGCCACCTCGGCCATGCGAGTGAAGAGATCCTTTGATTGCCTTCTGTCGAAAGCAGACACATCTCCGTTCCAAGTGAAACTTCGCATGGCTGGCCCGGCCTCGGTTGTCAACTGGATGCTCCAGGGCCACACCGGAGAAATCCATCAAGTGGTCTTGGCCCAGACGGAGCAGATCGGAGAATGGAGTGTGCTCTGGCAGGTCCCCGTGGATGCAGCCGCCAAGGACACGTCATGAACTACTTTGACCAACTCGCCACGGCAGAGCTGGCAGTAGATGAGCCCCTTACCTCTGAACCCAAATGGACGCCTGTCAAGAGGCTGCATGTCGTCAGAGACAACATGCCGGAAGAGGCGCTTAGCTCCAAAGCTTGGCTGAACACTTTACCGACATCATCCGAAGTCGCAGCCACCCAATGCGACGAAGCGATGTGAGCTTATGTTTGCTCCGCAGCAGTCAGTCGGAGACTGGTCTTGAAGCGTCCTGCTGATTTTCCTAGCTCCGCGTGCTTTTCTGGCGTTTGACTGCTGGATTTTCGTCAGCTTTGTGCAAATTTAACGCGACTTGTTGACCTCGCTGACCAGAAAAAACTATGGCTGTTCAGAAGCAGGGCACGGCGATGTATCAACTTGTGAGCTTTTCATGGCTTGTCTATTCATTGTGTCTGCTCAGGTCATGATGCTGGTCTATGGCACTTGGACAACCGATATGCCTAGAAGCAAAAAATCTGCAAAGCGACGGGAGGATTATATATACATATGAACTGAAACATACATCATCGGATTCTTATATATATGCCGCCAAGATATCACCATATCAGCATATCACCATACACACGCACAACCACGCACTCACGTACACACACACACATATATATATATGTACAAAGACACGCACAACATGAACACAGCACATGTACACCATCACAACATCCCATAGCAAAACATCACTTGACGCGTCATAACTTCACGTCACATGCAACAAGATCAGTATATTCACGTTTGCATACTTTTACATTACTACCACCCAACCTCACATCACACGAAAATAATATCACCTCACACACATATACCATACGTATAACATCTGCATGTACATCACATATACTACAAACTGCCTCTTACACCCGGTACACATATCGTTAACACACTACCAAAGTGACACGCCTGTACATGCACATACATACATACACACAAACTCACCCACCATCACCCCTCCATCACTCTCATACTTCCTCTTCCCTTGTTGCTTTTCTGTTGTCAGTCTAAGTCTGAAGAGGTTGTTAACATGTGGAGTTGTCCGGTCCTATAATTAAAGCTGTTTTTGGCTCATCGGCAGCACATGCCCATGCTTCATTGACGGCAAAGGGTGTAGCAGCAGATTTCTAGGAACCAGCACTTTCAACACTTTCGGTGTTTCCAGTAGTGAACCAGCAGAAGTAGTCAATCAGAAAAAGTTAGACATTCAGATAAATGTAAATAGATATATATTATATTATGATTCACACACACACATATATATATTATTCATATATTATATAATTATAAAGCAATTTTATCTGGATGCCTTGGCACGCCGTGTGAAGGGGTAGGGGAGAGTATGTTGAAATTACTTATGCTGTCTTCCACCGTATGCAATCTTTCACATAGTTGCATTCAGTTGCAGGTGTCTCGGTGTTTCTTGGCAATGCTGTGCAACCAGTTCGACCGTTGAGTGTCATGGCAGCATTTCTCGCGATGTGCTGTTTCTGTGCTCTTCGACCCAGGCACGGACATGTCCACCTGCTTTACTATAGACACACTTACGTACTGTACTGGCTGCGTTCTTCGATGCAGGCGCAGGCATGTTTACGTCTGTTAGACTTGCTTCAAGCATGATTGGACAGATGGTGGCTTTAGCAGGAGGTGCTTAGGACATAGTGGTCAACTACTGGGACTTGTTGACGTCTTGCATGTCTGGTTCTGTGGCAGGCATTTTTCACGACCAGGATCTGACCAGATAGGATCAGAGATGGAGGCCTGGCTGTAGCGAATCGATGTGTTTTTTGCTTTGCTTTGCGTAGTTGCAGCGTGGTGTGGAGTGCAATATCCGCTGCGTACATTTCAATGTCTTTTGGGTTCGTTGGCAGCTGTGGGACAGAAGTGCCATATGTGTTTGCTTGCAAAATCTAAGTGTATTCATGTGCGAGGGCATGCAATTCCATTGTTCATGCTGTTTTTGGCTCATCGGCAGCACATGCCCATGCTTCATTGACGGCAAAGGGTGTAGCAGCAGATTTCTAGGAACCAGCACTTTCAACACTTTCAACACTTTCGGTGTTTCCAGTAGTGAACCAGCAGAAGTAGTCAATCAGAAAAAGTTAGACATTCAGATATATGTATATTGTGAATGGGTTCAACCTCAGTGTGATTCCGTGTAAAGGGTAGTCTCAACGATCGTATTGTTCGTAATGTCCCCCGTCCCAGAAGCACAGTCAGCAGCGTTTTCCCATTGGTCGGAGCGAGTAGCGGTTCCTAAGCCACCGGATGGTGACTTGAGCCAATGCATTGGCGAAAGGCTTAATTGGTCACTGCACGGCTCTGCACTATTGTCTATGCTACTTTCACACCCCCCATGCCCCGCACTTCCGACCGTGACCGACGGTCTCCGGTCGGAGTGCTGGGCACAGGAGCAAACGCTAAGTTAAAAGTTAGACTGAAGTGCTCTACTGATTCGCCAGCTACGCTTGACTGTACAAAAAATGTTGGCCGCTGATCTGTCATGCAGGGATTACGTACTCCCGGTCGGCGACGTCCGTTCCGGTTTCCGTGCACCCTTCGAATTAGATCCTAGGTTCATACGCCCTTTAAACTTGTTCCCTTGCATCAGGACAGCTTCGCATCCTGAACGCATGGGATATATATGAATTAGCCCGGCACTCAGAATCCTCTCATAAGATCTCTCCAAGGATGTGGATCAAGAGGGATTTACTTCTTGCGCCGCTTCTTGGTAGCGTCGGACTCCTTGGTGCTCGCTGAAGCCCGTTCTTCTGTGGGTTGTGCATCACCAAGTGCTCGAACGTATTCTCTGGCATTTTCACGTTCTGCTGGATCAAGGGATCTGAGACATGTCGCCATCTGCGTAGCGCTTTGTTGTACGGCTCTGAATTTTCCATGCCAAATCTTGCGTAGTTGTTGGGGTAGCTCTAAGCCGATCTTGTTGAGCGTCACGAGGATGGTGAATGTTCTGGATCTCTCTGTCACTGCACATGCTAACTCCACAGGATCAATATGAATATGATCATCCCGTTGAGGTGGTGTAACTCGAAAATGGTCGTAGGATCGTACGGCAAAGGCACCGGAGATGATCTTTCTCACGAAGTCAGATGCTTCCCGTCGTGCTTCCAATTGCCGTTCCTCGTCCTCGTCTGTGTTATCGGCGACCTTAGAGAAGATGAGTTGAGGGGTGATGCCGATCTGGACCAGGTACTTCATGATTTTGCAAAGTACTCGAATCCCGTTCACTCCCTTCAAGTAGGTCTCCAGTTCTCGTCCACCAATCTTCCCATTCTTGGCATTGGCGTTGAATGAAGCGATCAACTGCTCCTCCGTTGGCTCTTTCAATTCGCCCTCTGCCGTCTCGCCCACATATGGAATATATCCATCGTATTCAGGTACTAGCATGACCC